GATCACACAGAGCCGCGCTGCCCTGGGGGGCTTCTGAGCGGAGACTCGTGCATCAAGATTAAGACATCGTATAACCCGCAAATAATAATGCAATAAGTAATGATGTAAACTTTGCAGATGTCTTAGAAAACTGAAGTTATGTTTTTTTTTTTGTAATGAAAAACATCACAAACGCTGCCTTTCAGATGGGAAAAATCTCTAGTCGTTAGCATGGCTCAATAAATATCTCGGACCCCACCTTCTTCTAACTTCTTACATTTCTGTTACTTCCTGTGGGAATTGAAGCACAGAAGTGTTTTAAATAAAGGATCCCTTGAGTTTACAGTCTCTTCGCTTTAATATCTAAAACCTAATTTGGAGACTGAATTCAGGATCCCAGTGATGAAACAAACTCCAATGGCAGGAAGCAGCCAAGTGATTCTGTTCTTGTTTTTCTGAAATGTCATGAATGGATTCAAATGGAAACCAGAGGTGCATGTGCAGGGTCAGAGGTGAACTGGTCTGGGCCATCGTCGACGAGCGGTACGCAGCAGGAAGGATGACATGATCGTTTCCTGCTCGGGGCCGCGATTATTGCATGAAAACACAGAAACGCAGTGACGACAGGGCAGTGCATGGAGATCTATAACCACACGCGCATCGTCTAGACGTGGTAAAATTACCGTAAATGCCAAGCAACGGGCGCAAGGCAGACTGCATCCGGGACGGGACGGAGACGGACACAACGGAGCAAGGTGCATGCTGGGTGAGAAAGGTGCATGCTGGGAGGGTACTCACGCGGGCGCGCAGGGCTCGGTGTTGCAGGCCCGCTGCTTGTCTTTGGGCTTGCTCTTCTTGTCACAGTAGTGGTTGAACACCACCGAGTGATCGGCCTGCCTCTTGCACACCACCTGCTGGATCTGAGCCCCTGGGGAGAGGCAGACAAACTGAGTGGGAAGGAGGTTCGTGCTGCAGGCCTGGGGCGGCTGACAGCGCTTGTGCTCCAGGAACATGCCCAGAGGAGGGTGGCATCTGTGTACAAGATCGCACACAGACCTGAAAGGATCAAACTGATTTCTTGGAAAATGATGACCCTGCCATCACCAAACAGCATTTCCTTTGTTAATTAAACCTTCTGTTTATGCATATTATTTTCCCTCTTTCCTGCCTGCTTTTAAGCTTCTGGGCGGGGCCCTGCTTTTTAATGGAATGACGCTGGGGTAAATGAGCAAATCTCTACAGCCTGAATGCAAATGCCCTACCATCATGCAAGGTGGGCCACACACTGTTCATCCATTGATTGTCTGACAGCTTTGTCCAATTCAGGGATGCAGGGGAGCCAGAGTCTATCATGGCCATTCAGTGGGCACAAGGCAGGGTACATCCTGGACAGGATGCCAGTCCACTGCAGGGCGGAAAGACACAATCAAAGGCACACAGGCACACCAGGGTCCATTTTTCCAGACGTCAATTAACCTACTAGGATGTTTTTGGAACGTGGGAGGAATCAGGAACACCCAGTGGAAACCCACACGACATGGAGAGAAATTACAAACTCCATACAGACAGCACCCCAGGTCTGGAATTGAGCCCAGGGCCTCAGCGCTGA